CCTCCGCAACCTCTTTCTCCACTGCCTTGCCCGCTTTGGTCACATGCCACTCTCCCCTCTCATCATACCATGCGACCTTCCTCTCCCTCCCCGATTGGTCCCTCTTCACAACCATGCTCTTACTCCATATCACTTTAATATCCCGGTTTGAATAACCTGCATGCTCCTTGAGATTGTACTTTGTGTATCCTAACCACTTCTCCCTGATTCTCTCCTCCCTCGTAAGGTTGCTCCGGAAGAAGATCTGGCCAAATGACTGTTCATGCCTTTTTCAAATGCTCCTGCAATTGTTTCCAAAATGCACTCTTGGCCGGCACACTGGGGAACTCCATCATCCCGATTTTGGTTAGGTCTGATCCTGTCGTCATACTCGCATGCACACCGTCACCGAACAACTTTTGCAGTACCGTCTGAAGATGTTCTACCACTGCTGCTGACGGCGCACTCTCCGCAAATCCGAATGCGATAATATGATTAATGCGCGCCTCCCCATCCTCCTCATAGTTTCTGTTCCTCCCTTCTGTTTTCGGTCGGTGGTCACGTAAGGCATGCTGGAGTTTGTCTTCAATCATCGTACCCACCATTGTCTGCACATCCTCCTGCGTCACGTAAAGGTCATCCATGTCCCCGTCGATCATTTCGACCCCGCCTTCAAGATCAACGACTTTGTTGCGTAACTCCCTGATGTTCCCCTTTATTTCTTGCACTTCTTCCTTTGTTCGTTTGACCGTGTCGCTGACGTGTTTGAGTTGCTTGGTTAGTGCATTGAGCTTTTTGTTTTGGCGTTGCTCGCACTGTTGGAACCACGCTGGTGGTGCCTCCACGATCCCGGCATCGACTCTCCCACCTCCCACACCGTCCGATAGTACCTCCACATCCGAATCCTCTCCCTCGTCGGCCGACTTGTCAAGAAGCTCCTTCATCCTGTCTTTACGGCCTTCCATTTTCTCAGGTGTCGAGCCCGTCGCAGCTCTCGCACGTTTAGACATAGTTCCAATTGTCCTCCACACACTCCGGAGAGATAGAGCAGACAGAATAATGAGCGATCAGATAGTGAAATAGGCAGCTAGAGAAAGCAAGTTCAATAGCCTGATTGTTGTGCCACTTGTGCCACTGGAAATCTTGAGCAAAGAGAATAACAGGAGGGGGGCTCGGAACAGAGAACATGTGGCAGAACCAGACTGGCAGATCGGGTAGACCCTACCGGGCGGGTCGGGAAGGCGGGCCCATGCGGCCAGGTCCAGCAGGGGGGTTGCTGAAGCGTGCGTCCTGCACGAATCGCAAGGAAGTCTCGAGCGATAGCGCGATTCCCAGATAAATCGTGAGAAATCCACAGCGAGAGCGATATTCCTGAGTGTCGAGGGCGCGGCGTCTGAATAAATGGCGAGGAAGTCCCACGCGAGAGCGCGATTCCTGTTTAAATTTGGAGGGCGTCACGCGCGAGAGCCTCATTGTTCAAAAAATTGTGAGAAATTATCAGGCGGGAGCAGTTGTTGTTGTAACTCGGGGGCTAGGGGCACAGTTTGAGGCTCAAGACTTTCCCTGATAAAAATCCGGGTGCGAGCCCCGAGAGGTGCACTTCAATTCAAATACAATGTGCACTGGGCAGGGGGGGTCAACCGTAAATATTCTTCAGAAATCAAAATTCAACCACAACACCATTATCAACAGCATCGTCGTCATCATCATCAGCATCATCATCATCAAAATCATCATAATGAGGATCAGCATGCTCATACTCATCAGCATCACCATCATCATCATCATCATCGTCAT